TGTGATCCAAACAAGACAGAATCCTGCAGCGTTATTGGCAATGAGGAAACCGCAGCAGCAATTGCGTTTTGTTGCTCCGTTTTATTGCTCCTCCCGGTTTAGAAAGTACCGTTTATCAGTTTTTCTTGTTCCCCTCGGGATATGCAACGAAAATCATTACGAGGAAAATTATGGTAGAAAATTGTTCTAAGGAGAGGCAGTCGGTATCTGTAACTTTCTAAGTCCTTGGAGCTCGCCGTGGAACAGCCAGGAGAACGTGTCTATTCCGTATCCGAAAACTCTTGACGAGCTGTCGTCACACGATCTTTACTTGCCTCGAATTTATTCCGTGGTCTCGTGGTTTATTATTGTGGATGGACCAGGTGCCTTTTTTTTTAACGTGGTCGTATTGATTCCGTTACGGAACCGACACGTCTGTGTTCAGAAAACGTTCCGCCCCCTCGACTGACCCAGTAGCCTCCCGCAGCTTCTGCTTGACATTTCGTAACCATCGCCACCAACGTATATTTAGATGCCACGTCTGTTGCTCGCGGGGCAACGCGAGGATTCGCGCCTTTATGGGGCCTTTACACCGCCACGACAGAGTCTGTTGAAGTTATTTTGGAACATTGTAAGAGTGTCAGATTTTTACGACAGTGGGTAATTTTGAATATTTGGAGTGAAAAAGAAAATGTGGTCTTGTATCGAGGAAGATGTTATATCTCGTTGACGGGTTGCAAATATTTCGGCGATAGTGTAAACGCACCCTAAGCCCGATACGTCCATCCACACAGGGCGGACATTTGTGTACCGTCAGCTGTTCGAGCCACACACTTACTTGTGTTTTCACTTGTGAACCGAGTTATACCAGATGCTTCCTGGTATATTTTCCGTGGTATTTTATAACTCGTTGTAACATAAAATAAAAATTAGAAAGTAAAATTCAAGATAAGCGTAACGGTAATGATGAATTCGGGAATAATAAAAGACTAGACAATCAGAATCACAAGCATAGAATTCACAGTACAGTGATACCGACATCGTAGAGGGTTAAACAGAACTTTCACCAAGTTCCGCCCAATTACAGAGTTTAACGGTCAGATCCTAGAAGGAATCGTTCGAATAAAACGGTTACAAATGATCATTCAAACGAAAGTACTCTCTACTCTCTTTGTTCGGAAACATATTCGTTTCTTATTAACCCCTTCGATGTTTATGTCGAGCGTACTCGTCATTAAACAGAATAAAAATTGCATTTGTTATTTAAAGTAAAATTTAGGTAACATGGTAAACATATTGGTAATTTAAATAATTTTAGAATATTCTCGGACAAGAAAAAAAAAATTATGCCCACGCAATGTATAGCTTAAAAATAATTACGCACACAAGTGCAGGTGTTCAAAATGAAATAAAACAATTGATGGGTTAAGAGGCAAGTCACGATATTATTCCACAGACCTTCAAACGAAATTATCGTCCGTCGAACGTAAACCGGGTGCACTCCCGCGATTCGATTTAAAAGTATCCGCTGTTCTCGTTAATCGTTTCCTCGGAAAAACTGGTTTCCGCCTCGATTCGCCGTTTCGTTTCGCGGCGGTTTTAATTTACGGCCGGCGAATAGTTCGCGCACGGAAAATCATTTGCCCGAGGAGAAAGTACCGTGCTGCCGGCATTGTTACTCCGTCCGCTGCCAGTCCTGGTAATAAACATCGTGTCTGCGCTGTGATGCAACGGAGAACGCATTGTGTAATTTCATTAGGATTATTTTGCATACCTGTTATCACTTCGATTACCGTGCACCATTTTCGATTGTTATTTTATTAATCGAGGTTCCGGTTAACTGTGCGGGTTCACCATAGTGGGATAAAATATTGACCATTTATAGGTTAACCATGGAGTCTGATTTATTACATTCAATTGTGATAATTAAACTGATTATTATAGCGTTCCATAACATGGAAAATGCAATAAATTGAAGACTCCAATAAAACTTAATGCTATTCATATGTTATTATTAATGTAGGAAATCCTTTAGTGTAAAATTCCTAATTCTTTCCCATTTTTTTTTCCGCAGTCTAGTACAGACTCTTCTCGGTTATTGTCCCGAACTTGGGTCCGCGCCGAGACAATAATCAAGTAGGGAGAAATGCTTCTGACCGTTGAGAATTCGTTTTTTGCCCAAAGCCTCGGCAATAGAAGCGGAGGGGAAACAAACTGCTAGTGGTAGGGGTAACGCCTGGACAATAATCGTGTAGAGGAAGCCAGACAATAATCGCGAAGAGACTGTAATAATACTTCATCGCGTAGATATTTTTTTCTGTACATGTCGGTAAGCTCAGAAGGATTACTTTATTAATAAGCGTATCCTTTTCAGCCGCGGGGACGACAAATTCTTTGTTCCTGGCCTACCATTCCCTTCTCCACGGAAAAAAATCAAGTCGAAGGACCTTCCGTGTTCCCATGCCACCTGGTACCATCCGCTGACCGATCCCCATCGACCTTTTTGTCGCGGGTCTCGACAGCGATAATATGGCCCATTCGACAGCCTCGGTTTCCAGTTTTCTAGGAGCCTGATTATAGAAAGAGACACTAGGAACACCTCAAGATCTCTGGACACAAAAGTTCCAACATCCCGAAGCTACCTAACCTCAAATCCAGTCCAGGATACCGTCTTACTCGCGCCTGTACCACCCAAGGTGTCATTCCGTAAATCTTAATTTCCCCTTAAATCTTACCCAAATGGGGTGGCTCACGATTCGACATACAAACGAGTGGCTCGGCCCCGTACAAGTGGGATGGAGAAACCACAACGCGAAAGACGAGTTTGGAATGCGGCAGTTTATACTCGACAAAATTTCGCGGGAGACAGGGGGAGGAGGAACGTTAAGGAGGATAGCGTGGGGGCGCGACGGAGCACGACGGGACGAAACGATTACGGAACGTATCGCTCGCGGGAGCAACGCAATCGTGGGGAGGGAGAACGTTACGTCAATTTGGCGAAGATCCCGAAATTCTGTCCCGCGTAAGGAACGGGGCCACGGGCTGTTTGGACACCGGCCAAAATCGTTTGTGTGGCCCCCCCCCCCCCCCCCCCCCCGCCACTTTCTAACACTGTCTGTAATTTCGTGTATCGTGTACTCTGTTGTACCGTGCTGCTCGGAGGAAGGGGAGGAGGAACAACGGCGGAGCGGACCATACGCTTGGCCTCGAACAAAGAGGAGGCTCTGTCGATCCTCTCTCGCCAGGCGGAAACGTGGCTAGTTTCATCCCCTATGGAAAATCGCACAGCCGAGAGAAGAGCAGGCAGCGTTGTTAGAGCTGGCCGATATACATTACACACACGGCTGGGGACGATACTCGGAGAGGAGTGGGACGACAGGCAGCCGGGCATAATAGTCGTTGCATTACTTCCCCCGTGCTTCCCCTACGTAATCGCGATATCGGTTCAACGGCCATGCGAAATTAACTTTCTCCGGTGCGCGGCGGACGGGTCTCTGCCTCCGCCGGCGAGAAGCCAGCTAGAACCGCGCGCGCGTTTGCCACTACGCGATTACTGGGCGGACTAGGAATGTCCTCGTTAGTCGATAGTTAGTTTCCATCGCTGCGATTGTAATCGATCATTGGAGAAAATGGCGTCGTCGAATGCTCATAGACGTATAATACCGGGCATTTAGCTGATAGACCGTTAAATATTAGAAAAAGATAGCATGCTTTAGGTCACCATTCTGCCTTTGTCTGACATTCGGTCGTTTTCATTTTTTCTACATCTCTGTTGAAACTTCTCTATCGTAGCACGCGTTGTTAGAAAATGACAGGTGACCGTACAGCAGATAACTCTTTCTAATTTTTTATACGGCTTGATTCTGTGGGAGATGTTGCACACCTTATCTTTATAGTTTCTCCAGTTCATTATTTTTTCTTTTTATTCTCTGTATCTCTAGTGTAGAAACAGAGAACTCGATTCAAGGGGAGAGCACACCAGATTCCTTGGGAACATTGTTGTACAGTCGATCTGCGTGGGCGATACTCGCTCGGTCGAATCGTTTTCCAGCCGATGAGAAGGGGGTCCCCGGGTACCGGTTTTCCGTCGCGCGCAAAAAAGAGACAATACTGCGACCTTAGCGGATATGGTCAGACCAGGTATTCCTCGAGGATGCCCGGTCGGTCCGCGACTCTTTCCTCGAGTAGATGCCCTCCCCCCCTATCTGTCTTTTTTCCACCGTTGAAAGCCACTTTACGCCGCGTCGTGCGGGCTTCCCTTTGTCTTTTCTCGTCAAACCGTCGGCTGGCCGACCTCCTTTCGTTCCTTCTTTTTTTAAAAGCGTTTTTACACCTCGATTTCGAAATCATTTGTCGATTAGATTTCAACGTTTAGACGCCATTTAACGGTGACTCAAAGAACATTACAGACGACGGAAGGTGTGTACAGAGAGTGTTTTGTAGTCTGAACTTATCTCTTCGAGGAACCTAAAATGATTCCACAGACATTTTTATCCGAATAATTTCTTATAAAAATAAGTGCACAGAATAAACGTGTAGTCAACCCTCGAATGGTAAGGTGACTTTTAATCGACTTCCACAGTGAAAATGGCCGTACGTAGCCAGACACACTTTATTTCGTTTTATTAAGTCATAAATCGTCGAAAATGTATGTTAACCTATGAAAAATATTTTAGAACGAGAATACAAAAAATAATAAAAAATAAAGTGGCGACAGCACAAGAGTAACTATAACTTGGGTCGGATACAACCCGGATCTTACGATTCCCTATTGGCACCACATTCTATTTACTATTATTTTTTTTATCTCATTTTAAAATATTTCTTATTATTTACCTTGAGATGACCTTCAACCTCGTAGCCTAATTTCCCCCCGAAAATACACTAACTTTCACCCGAATCATTCTTTTGTACCCTGACAAATAAGAAAATAAATAAGGGTGGCAGAGTTAGGTGGGGGACACCCTGTACAGAGTGATATACAAGAGCCAGGACTGTTTTGCTTTCAGAATGCAGTAAACATGCCGTCGTTGCTGGAAGCATTGGAGCTGAAGTACGGCGGTTCAACGACCGAGTGCTCCCTGACCGACGAGGAGACGGAGTCCAGCTCGCCGAAGGCCGCCCTCTCGGTCAGCATTTTCATACCGAAGAAATCGCCACGGCACACGGTGCCGGCGTTGTTGGTGCTGCAGGACTGCGACATCGAGTCGGCGGGCAACGACGCTGAGAAGCTGCGTAATAAATGCAAGAACGTCGAAGAGCTCGATCTCGCGCAGAACAAGCTCTCCCAATGGGAGGAGGTGTTTGGGATATTGCAGCATATGCCGAAGATCAAGTTCGTGAACCTGAGCTTCAATTGTCTGGCGGAGGTGCTGGACGTGAAGTACGGTAGCTACGATCAGCTGAGGAATTTGGTGTTGAACGGCACTAGAGTGTCCTGGTCGACGGTCCAGGGCTTGATACGATTGCTCCGTAACCTGGAGGAGCTACATCTGTCTTTAAACGAGTACAGGACCGTAGATGTGGACCATCAGAAACAGGAAAATGTGAACCCGTCCCTGAGGAAGCTCCATTTCACTGGGAACCCTGTAGAAGTCTGGAACGAGATCGCCAAACTGGGATACATCTTTCCCAATCTGGAGAGTCTGGTTCTGGCCGAGTGCCCGATCAGATCGCTGGCCTTGGTCGACAACAGGAACTCCAACGAGGAGGAAACGACCACCACCTGCCAGACGAAAGAGAATCTCAGCCAGGACAACGAGAACATGAACAACCTGGACGAGAATGTGGTGGATGAAAAGGGGAACAGGATATACGGGGAGGGGAAAGTGAATTACGATAGGTCCGAGTCGGAATCGGAATCCACCGGGAACACGATCAGGTCCTCCCACGATCCGTTCAGGAAGCTAAGGTTCTTGAACGTGAACGGGACACTGTTGTCCACATGGGACGACGTCGAGAGGCTCGCCAGGTTTCCTGTTCTGAAGTCGCTGAGGATTCAGGGTTGTCCTCTGTTCGAGGTGACGAATCTTTTTTTTTCGTTCTTTATGAATGTGTTCTCTTTGTCAACTTCTTTGGAATCTTTCTGTATGTTTCACAGTGATTTTTTTTCTTGTTGTTTGGGGATGAATATTGTAGTCAGTGGGGATGAATATTGTAATCAGTGGGGATGATCGGTTCCGATTCGATTCTTACCGATTCCCTTGGGGAGCACGTCACTGCTATGTATGACACATGTACACTAAAGTTAAAAATATGGGACCAGGGTTCATGATTGATGGACCATCAACTCATTATTCTATTATGATAAAATAAAAGTTACGGAATCGGTACATACACAAATCATTTCCCATTAGTTTTTTACCATTATCAATTCTTTGTAGAATAATAGTTTACTCTCCCTCTTTAATTATCATATCTGGTCCCATATTTTTAACCGTTAATGTATATATTCCTCATGATAGTGACGTGTTTCTCCAAGAAATGGAATCTTAATCGAGCATCCCTAATAGTCTGTCAATTGGACATACAGTGACTCAGACGTATTCGTTCGTATACTTTCCAAATTACAATTAAGCTTACAAATCTTTATGCAATTTCGGTTTACGTACACTTTTACTTGAATCATGCGTTCGTGATAAATGTTTCTTAATTTTCGAATAAGATTCGTAGTTTGTTACGTAATCTGGTAAGATAAATGTGACAGCCTTCTGTGAACGAATTTGTGAGTCACTGGTATAGTAATAATGATCATCGTCGAGGTCCCAAAGAAACTATGTATTATGAAACCGTGCTAGTGGCCTATTCACAAATTACGTGGACACACGCTTTTACGTTTGCACGCGTCGAAACGAAGGCAATAAAACGCAGCCAGTTACGATACGAGAAGTCATTAAGACAGAGGTCTGATCCGGTATGCGCCGCTAGAATCCGTTCAGTTTCGTAGGAAAATCTTGGCACGACGTCAACCGGCCACTGCTGTGTTGCTTTCGAGAAACAAGCACTCCTCGGACTGACGTCGTCGCTCGTTCGAAATCCTCCTCGACGGAGACTCGCATTTCCGTCCTAAAAATAATCGGGCGATGCTAATTGCCCTGTAATATCGACGGGAAACCTTTTATGCACCCAGCCCGAACGATTTTTTGAGATTAGATCCGTATTTTGGTTCGCTATAATTAAAGGGTGGAAAAAGGGCACATGACATATACTATACTTCGATTTTTAACTTTTTGTATTGTTAGGGTCCCATTTCTTGATCACTTGAAGGTGCATTTCGATTGGTTGCGTATCATTGTATCGTATCACCCTAAGCTCAACAAGCTCTAACCTCATTTTTCCTAAAAGTAGTTGTTGCAAATTTATTAGTCTTTTTATAGTCAGTTAGGTCGCAAAACGTGGTCTTAAATCCTCTTTCGTTCGGACAAAGGTCGTCCACCATTTGTAAAAAAAAAACATTCGAACCATAATGGGACACTGCCAATTTGGTGTTTTCAGAGTCCTCGAGAGTACACGGAACACGAGAGGCGGCAGCTGTTGATCGCGAGACTGCCAAACGTCGAGACTTTGAACGGTGGCGGTGTGATATCGTCGCAGGAACGCGAGGACGCCGAAAGGGCCTTCATTCGTTACTACATGGACAAACCGGAAGCGGACAGGCCTGAAAGGTGCTTGCTCGATTCAAAATGGCGCGCCCACTGCTCTCGATCCTTCTTTTTCCCGCCCCCTTAATTTAGATTCGTTAGCGTATCTGGTTCCTGTCTCTCCATTTTTGCGTCTCGAGCGCCGAGCCTCTTGATAAAGTCACTCTCCTCTATTTTCGTTCGAGCCTTAACCTTTTACACTTCGTTCTATATTCATGAGTGGATCCAGCCACCATGAGTAATAAGAAAGAATCATTTTCGGAGAATTATTAAGAGGTTATACAGGGTGAAAGGAGAAAAGAGTTCGTATCTTCTGGGGTGGAAATAGCACTCGTCAAATGGTGAAAAAAAAGTCCTGATAAACACGGGTCAAAAGATTAATATTTTGAAAGTTATAAATAAATTTTTGTGTTTCATATAAACCATTTTTATTAGTTTTTTTTTTTCATCGTGTGGCGAGTATACTATCTACCCCAGAAGTTACGGACCCATTTTTGTTTCACTCTATATATTTATTTGTCTACTGATTACATCTAGATCGTACGATGGAAACGCTGCCATTGTTTCCACAAATTTGCTTCGAAATCGTTGAATGGATACGTCACATCTGTACCTGGTAGGACGTATTTCGAGCGAATTAATTTGGCTCGAGGACCTGTCGCGAGAATTAATTCCCATTTCCATGCCTTCGTCGTGGTCTATTCTAGTTGGCAAGCCAGAAACCATAAAGCTAATTCTAGTTTCACGGGCGCCCCGTCGTTTGTCGAAATGGAACGACGAAGCCCCCAAACTTGACCCTGGTGTCCTTCCATTTTCAGGTACTCCGAGCTGGTCGCTATTCACGGCAAGCTGGACCCGCTGGTACACGTTGACCTGACGCCAGAGAAGAGGGTCAAGGTCACGTTCACTTACGGAGACCTGGTCGAGGTAAATTTACCCCCGTTTATACCCATGGAAGTCGATAATCGACCACATAATTAAATTCCGAGATCTGTCGGTTGAACACGCGTTTCAGTCGTCCATCCCCGTAATATCGTCGCTCTGGTTCTTAAATGTTGTTAGTATATTCGGAGATTCAACCATTAAGAAAAGAAAAAACTTGAATTTTTTGTATATTCTGAAACTTTGAACGAATAAGACGCACGTGGATTACCTAATTTTTTTTTTAAGAATGGAGTAAATTAATTGAAATTAGCTTTACTTTATATTAGTTGATTTGTTAATAAATTTAGTTAGATAAAAGTTTTAATTGTTAAGAACTCGGGCGATGATATGTGTTCACTAGAGGAAAAAAGTCCTTTCGGAGGGGTCGTAGAAGAATCGATTCTGATGGAAATCAAATGGCCCCCCGTTTTTAGTGTCACTACAGCGTTGAGAGATACCTGTTGAATGTAAATGGGGAAATTGTAGGTACGATCCGTGGACGTGTACAGAACCGTTTTCGAACTGAAAACCAAACTGGAGACGATGGTGAAAATCCCGGCGAATCGGATGAGACTGTTCTACGTGGATCAGGTGAGCGAGTTTTCGAAACGACGTTACTTTATTTTTCGTATTTTTTCTGTTTTCCAGAATGTATGGTTCCTCGAGAGTCCTCTTAAAAAGCACGAAATCACGATATAGAAACCCCGTCACACAGACCCCCTTTCCATGAATTCCTCGGCGTCGCACGAAATTTCGAAATGAATGTGTTGAACACACGATCCAGAGGTAAATTGTTTCTACAGTTTGTGTCTATGTGTGTTTGTCGGCTGCTGTACCAGATTATTTTCCTTTTTTCTTTTCTTAAGGTGGTATTCTACTAACAAGGGAAGGCACGAAAGTCCACCTCCGATTTTGATGAAACTTCGTATGTCTGTTAAGCCGTCAAAAATACGTATCCCTTAATTTTGACTGCTTGACAGACATACGAAGTTTCATAAAAATCGTAGGGTGACACTTCCGTGCCTTCCCTTGTAAAAAATCGATTTTTTTTCTTGCAATTTCTCATAGCTTGGGGCCCTAAAAATGTGTTCCTGAAGCTTTACGACAAACTTCATAAAGTTGAAAAGAAACTCTAAACCCGTTTTGGAAAATGGTTGCCACGAATAACAAAGCCTTAGATAACATTTTTGCTAAGAAAAAAGTTGTTTCAAATCATCCCAGGAACCCCTCGTTTCCGGGAGTCCAAGCTATTTTGGGACAGCTTGTATATATTTTAAACATTTATCTAATGCGTTTCGTTCATGTCGAAGGTGATGAAGGCGCAGTACGGGCCCGAAGAGATGTTGTATCCGAACAAGCAGCTGTATCGGTACAACATCCGGAACGGTGACGAGATCATCATCGATAGCAAGCTGAACCGATGCGTGTCGACGTCCTCGACAACGTCTTCCATTCGTTCCTGAGGAAGGTTCGCCAGCGAATCGTCGGATGACGCGAAACCCAACACCTGACGATTGTCGGAATCTGATCTCCGTTAGCACGGATCCCACGGTCGCGAAGGGGAGGACCGTTTGGTGTTGCTTCGATCGTAGATCGAACAACTAGGGGGTGGGGGGCTTGGAACTTTTGATATATATATATACATATATATATATATATTACCATACAGACCGAGTAAACATTGTTTTTTTTTAGCGAATATATTGTATTCATCGTCGATTCTTCGGGATTAAGAAAGATACGCGTGGTTGGGTGATTCGAAGGAAGTTACGAGGACAGATAAAGAAAAAGAATTATTGTCAATCATATTGAAAAAGGATTTTCGAGATACACAAGGTCGTAGATTTGTTCGTAAAGGTGGCATATCTTGCAGAAGAGATGTGTATTCGATGGACCTTTTTACACGAAGAAATTTCCGAGAATTCGCGAATCTTCCTCCGGAAGGTTCGCGCTAATCGTTAGAGCGTAGAATTAACCGTCGAAGCCCTAAGGGGGGTTGGGAAAAGGAAAACGTAAAGTACTTAGTTGAACTACTGTAGTGGCCCCCGATATACAAATTGTTTTCCATGTAGTTGATGCCCGTTGCTTCCCGGTTACGGGATGTTAAAATATACCGTTGACTGCTCTGTACCGCAAGGAAGAAGACGCAGAAGAAGAAACCCTTAGCCATACCGTATTGACCGTATTCGAGAGAGAAGAATATATCAGAAATCATCGTAGATCATCCCCTAACCGACGTGTTTGTTTGTTCAACGGACTTTATTATTAAACGGGGACAGTGGGTGATGGCAGTAGAACGGCGAACGAAAACTGATTTAATTATGTTACACCGGATGTGTTGAGTAGTGAGACGTTGACTCCAGTTTGTTGATCGATGTGCGTTCTGTAAACGGTAAGAGGACTCTGTCGAGAGGAGAATTAACGAAGCCAAGTTCTAGTTGCGGATGAATGTTAAAGCGTGCGAGAAATGGCGAACCGAAGAAAAGAAAAAAAAAAAAAGAAACGATGAAACTCATCGAGGCTGTCGAAGAGAGAGTGAACTATTTTTGTAGATCGCAGCCGATTCGTCTTCAAGTGGACGTGATAGAGAGACGATACACGGCTAGGCAATGATAAAATATTGTGTACACGGTAATACGGCTTTGTATTGTTCACACACACACACATAAAAATACACCGAAATTTTTGTTGTCTTTTAGCCACTGACGAAACGGAAAGGTTGGTGCTCACCACACGCCGGAGACCAAATTCGCCGTGACATTGATAAGCGCGGAAAAACTAACGGGAATGGTCAATAGACAACTTTTTTTCACATTTTGTACAATTTTTCATCCCCGGCGTGAACGTGAGGATTTAACCTCTAGAGATCGTCAGTATCAGAGAAATGCGTGTGTTTGTGTCGTAATATTCTTGTGCATTTTGTTTTTTTTTTCTGTTCGGTGTGTACTTAAGCCTCCGAAACAATCGACGCGCGATAACGATTAATCGAGGTGTACTGGTAACACGGTATACCGTCAAGTTTCTATATTTTTTAACCGATAATTTACAAAAACTGTCTTTCATGTGGTGTATACGTTGTTTTTCTTGTCTTTTTTTTTTTTTGAGGGGGAATTTAGAAGGATGTCATCTGGCAGAGATTGAGACTTATGCTGTTAGCGAGAGGACACTAAAGGTGCGTATCCACTTGTTGAGTATCCCCTTTATTGTATCACTGTTGTATATCAATGTGGATGAGGGCAAGCATTACATCGTTGCGTAAAAAAATATATGGTGATACGATACGGTGATACGCAACAAATGGATACACACCTTAACAAGGAGAGGTCCCCGTGTATCGCTGGCTTTTTAATGAGGTTTTAGCACATGTTCGGAATGTTAAAACAAATGCTAGTTATTTCAGTCGCATATGGCCGTTAGTTTGACATACACTTAACGTTAAGGTTGTCGCCTATACACAGGGTGTTACCGAAGTGGTGGTGCAACCCTAAGGAATGTGACCATCTTCGATATCTCACTCGTTTTTGAAGATATAAAAAAATGTGTAGTTCCGAAGCACACCCTGTATATAGACTACGACTTTAACATTAAATATCTCCAGAACTAATGACCTTACGCGATTGAAACAAATACCACTAGTTTCAGAATTTCAATCTTTATCACTCTGCAAAATCTCATTAAAAAAAGCCATTGTTACATTTGGGGACACCTTGCGAGAAAAAAGGGAGAGGAGCACAACAATGTTGCACGACCATATGTATTCCGCTTGCAGAGGAAGGGAACCTTGAAGAGTCACTTAGTGCCTGCCTTTTACTAGAGTAACTCGCGATACTTCAAGAAAAAAAAAAAAACACTGCCCTGTAAATACCATGAACCACACACACGCGTACAAAATGGACAGGACTCCCAGAAAGCACACGACGTCTAATGACGCCTTGAAGACGGTTTAAAGGCGCCTTAGACCTAAAATAGCCGTAAAATGGGCGTTTTTAAGGCGTCATGTGCTATCTAGAAAGGGACAGATGAGATCTGGGACTGGGAAGAGTCGGCTGACGCGTTTCACGAAGATCACACACACACACACACACACACACACACACACACACGCGCGCGCGCGCGCTGCATCGCGAACGTTGTTGATGTCAAGATTTTCAGGGTTAAACCGTATACATATGTGGTACATTCGGGGGTCGCGTCGAGAATCGTTTGATCGATGCAACCGCCGTGGGAGAACACACATGTGTTGACCCTGACGATCCTGCGGCCCCTATTATGTGTCTAGTCTCGGAAAAGGACCTCTGCATTATTCTCTGATTTTATATAAATAACGATCCTTTTTTGTGCTGGCGCAAACGTGTACGTACTACTAACGGAATAAAATCTTTATATATGAGACACGCGTGTGACATGTTCGAACGACGACGCCTGGAAATGGAGGACTATGGTCTGATTTTTTATGATTTTAGGTGAGATACATTTCAGCAGTCTGGAAATCGATGTTGTTCAGAGATCTTGGTCAAGAAATTTAACGATGGGTCAATTATGTTTCATTATCGGAATGTTATCTTTTTATCGGTAGCATAGGGTACGAGCCGTTTCGCCTGGCCTGAAGCGCATCGATCGCACACGACACTGCCCCTCGACCCTAAAAGCGACATGGGGCGCTGTTTGACTAGTGCGAAGAACGTATTCGTAGATACTCGGAACAGCTACAACGGTACCGATAATTTCGAGGATTAATGACAATAAAAAAATCCCCAACTGTACAGTACCTGTAGATACTAATTGTTTCTACATTCAATGATTCATGTTTTCTTTTTTTTAAATCTTACGGGGTAACAGAGAGACTTGCTTCTCTCCTGGCGCAGACCCGAACGTATCAACTCTGTCACCCTGTATCACTCGTCGCTACACTCTTGCATGCAGTCACAAATTCATGCAATATTCTCAGACAGAAGAAGAAAATGCATAAATTCGTACAATACTGTCTTGACAGAATAAAGAAATGCTTGTTTTACCAGCCATGAATGGTCGATTGTACAAAGAAAAATATAGTCAATTATATTCTACCAGAGGAGCGATTTACCCTTCAAGCAAGTACCATGAACGACCTCGAAGAGCACATTTGCCTCTTCACTGTACTGTGCAATTTCAGATATATTCTACAGATTCTACAGGACAAACAGTAAAAAAAAGAACAGAAAGAAAGTGAGGCACTGCAAGTCACCAACGTTTAATCTTTCTAATTGCATCTCCCCTGCCCCTGAAGATCCTTCATCGTCATCAACGTCGAGAATCGGTTTCTCAAGGAATCGATCGAAACGCTGCGACGGGGGTGGATTATTCGTCCATGCAAGAACTCGGACAGGGTAAATAGTATCAACGTCGTGGCGAAAATATGTTCGATTACACGGTTGTACATCATCCCCCGAATAATAGACAGCGACCACAAGGTGGCAGCTCGTTATACGAGCACCATTACATTTTTTCCTTTTACCTTTGAAACTTTACGACCGAACGGGGGGATCGTGACTAATCCAACCACCCTGGGGGGAAACGCGCGCGCCCCTACCACAGCCCGTTAAATCCGCAGACACGAACGCGTGGACTACGGTGCCCCCTGTCTCTCTTGGATCATTCTTTAATCCACTTTCGCATCTTCTTCGTCGTTTTCTACGTTTTACACTCCTATCACTGATCGTGTCGCGTAGCTGTGTCACCGATTACTCCGTGAAAATTCCAAGAAACCTTGTTTCATGAACAACCCTCGTTAATCAACGTTTTTTTCGATCGGAGACCGAGGTCTGATAAACGTGATCTCTGAATATTCAATTACAAAGCCACAGGTTCCAGGAGGGTAAGGTTCCTCGTGAAGTCTATCGTCCCTTTTGCTAATCCCTGTCATCCCTTTAACATTCGACACTTTTTACAGGGTCGACCTTTCTCGACACCAGAGTTGAGCAGAATTTTATTTAAATAGTACATGAATAAAAAGCAAACATTTTTTTTTAAATAATTAAACAAGTTTGTTTGAACAAAATATCATTTAAAAATCTATAATCAAATATTATTTTTTACTCTTAAAAGAAAATTTAGAGCTGAATGGGTTAATAAGGGTAAATACTCGTTTGCTAAGTATCTATTCATTCAAGAGGAAGCATTACTTTATTATAAAAAATTGGGAATTCAACGATAAATTAATTACATATAACAAAGTACTTTTCTTTTATATCTTATTCGTTATTCAAAACTCTTTACCTAGATAATGAATTTGCCCGTCACTGTTGACCTCCCGCCTGGAATATCATACATATGCACCCTCGGTTAATAAGTCCGTGGACTCCAGCTGTGCAAGGATCGAGATACGATTTCACAAATCTTCCCGTGAAGTCCCATACATACACCTGTGACCCCAAGTTTATACAACCAAAGATGACCAAATTCATTATCTAGATAAACAATTCCGAAGAAAAGATAAAAATAGGTACTGCGCCATTTGTAACTAATTCTATTTGCCAATTCCAATTTCTATAACAAAATCATACTCGAATGAGTCGACACTAGGCAAACAATTATTAACCCCATTAACCAATGATCGTAGATCCCTCTACTTTTCACAGGGTATTTATTCGAAAATAAAATTCTGTCCAACTCAGTACACGAACCCTGTCGACAGACGGAAGGACCATAAAAACCGTGAATCCGAATTACCATCCACCGACAAAACATGGATCGGTGGTTCCTCAAGGGTCTTGACCTGGACGGTAAACAATGAACCCATAATACAAACTACGTGATCACGACCGTGCGCGTCAGAATTAGCAAGCTCGAGTTTAAAAGATGGCGGGCAGAGGGCTCGCCCGTGGCCCGTAACGAGCAGTCTGCACCCCTGGCTCGCGGTGGCTGGTTGGTTGGTCGGTCGGTCGGTCAAAAAGGGGGTGGCGTGTGCGCGTCGTTCGGGAAGCAGCGGCAGCAGCGTGAGCGATGAGTAGGACGTGGTAGGACGTCGTGGATCGACGTGCGTCGGTGCAGAGGGCCGAGAGAGCGTGTCTCTTGCGGTGCACAGCTGGCACGGACCGTCAAGATGTAAGCTGTCGGGAGCAGAGAGTCGTGTGTGTGTCCCCCAACGGTAGCCGCTGGCCTAGGGCTGAGAAGAACGAGAGAAGAACGCCCGAAGTGGAGAAAGAGAAACGACGAGGAGAGCGAGAAAACTGGGCCGCCGATCAAGGGAGGATATGGTGTAGCGGGAACCTGGGAGATCGATTGCTTCCCGATAGCTGGCATGGAGGACACGGGACTGGGGTAAGTGCGGAGAGAGAGACACACACCGGGGTGTTCACCGTGGTGTGGTCCGTTTAAAGGGGTGCGTTCTCCCGTGCCTGTATTCGACAGAATTCGACAGGATCGATCTTCAACGGGAGACCCCCTAGATTTGGGGAGAGACAGAGATCTATCAAAGATGACGACTCTCTCCGTGTGACTAAATGGTTCTTCGACTCACATACTTGGTGATATACGGATATATCGATACGGAAAGGAGAAGTGTTTATTAATCGATACGCTATATCGAGCATCGACGTGTCGCGTTTGACCGTATTCCGTGTGTCTGACAGGTTCTCGATGAGGATGAGGTCCTCTGTTATACTGCCCAGTGTATCTCGGTCAGGCTGGTTCGGATCTTCTTTTTCTTGTTCCTGAAATGTCTTCTACGATATGGCTGGTAGATAGTATGTTCCAGTGCTGATAGTTAGTAGATATCCTCCAGTGTCCCTGTGGTTCTTCTCGAAGGAATTCGAGGATCCCTTAAATAAAGGAGATAAAGGAAACCGTGCAATCTTTTTCGTGCATAGGGAATAGTGTCCCTTCACCCCCATTGTCTTCTTGTTTGTCGATCAGTGACCGGCTGGTTCGTCTTCAGCATGGTTTAGAAATGACGTCGATTGATTCTGGATAAAAAATGCATCGATGAGTTCCAACGGATACACGATTCTCTCGTAACGTTGCTTCTGTGTCACGGTTCGACCGAATCTTCCTGTGATCGTTTAAGTGTCCCACAAGCGAGAGCACCCGCGATCGTTCTTCCGTGGAATTCAACCCCCTCGAATGGGGACACTCGGGGAAGAAACTTCGTTGCGCCGTTTTCTCGGAGAAGAAAAATCTAAATGTAAATCGCGAAGATCCACGAACGAGATAAACGAGAGACGAGAAACCCCGCACGCTTCTGTGCTCGCGAGTATTGGACCGTTTGTTCAGTGGAAAAAAAAAACAGTAGAAAATCGAGGATAGGTGTAAATGGAGCGTATCGTAAAGACATTTCGAAAAGGTTTTTACTTCTTTCTATTCTATAGGTCGAACCCTTAGAAAGTTACGTGAACCTCTTTTAATGGCCCCCTGTTATGAATCATAAAACCTTGGATTTGCATATACATTCGCGGTATAATTATTATTGCCAACGGAGGTCCTGAATAAGTATTATCCGTGGAATATCAAAGTTCAAGGAGGCGATTCTTCGAAGACGCATGTAATCCGTGGACTACGGTACACCTCATGCATTTATGGATCGTCGAGATTTATAATGAAAGTTCAACAACGTTCTTATCCACCGTTACAGAAATTAATTCTACAGAGATACGAATAAAACGCCTGCGGGCCTTATATAGGGTGAAACAAAGAGAAAGGGTTCATAATTTCTGGAGGTAGGTAAGTACTTGCCAAACGATGAAAAAAAGTCCTAATAAACGTGGGTGAAAAAATTAATCTTTTCAAAATTATCAATACCTTTTTTCAGTTAAAAAATTTAAGTATTCCCTCAAAAAGTATATTTTACAAAAATGAAAAAAAGGAGCCTATTTAATATCGATATTTTCGGCTTTAAAACAACAAGATATAATATACATATGTATATGTAGTCTGGGCATTAAAGGGCTAATCGAAACAAAAAGTAGATTATAACTTTGAAAATATTAATTTTTCGACCCACATTAATTCAGACTTATTTTCATCATCTGGCAAATACTGCCCACCATAGAAGGATTAAACCCTTCTTTTGGGTTCACCCTGTATATCTCGGAAGAAACGCATGACGTTTTCCTGAAAAATACGTAATCCCATTAGTTACGCGCGTTGGTGTGTGTTAGTGTTTCGTTTAAAGGTATAAATATCAGTAGGTACGGATTAAACAAGAGACAGGATTATTTATGCAGGTCAGATAAGAGAAAGAAGGTTACTTTATGGACGTAGCACGGTATCTATCTGGCGTCGACTGGCACCAGGGAGCCAGCAATCGCCGCCTTCCATCGCTCTGACTCAACCCCCTGGGGGACCGACCGAGGTCACATCGTTGCCCCCGCGGAAAAGCAACGTTTCACTTAACTTTCCTCGTTCCAGAAGCCGAGTCCTCGACGATTCTTTTCTACCGGTTCGATCGGTCGATTCGCCGAGATCGTTCACCGCGAAAGGTCGTTCGTTGGAAAGTTTCCAACGTTAATAGAGTCAGTTCCGCGGCACCACCCCCCTTGGAGCGCGAAAAAGTTGTTAGGGGCCATTTACGTGAGGGCTCTAGCCGAGGACCCCTACAGCTTTCGAGCTTCCCGCGGAACGCTTGAACACGCTGAAAAAGTCGCTTTCGCGACGTTTCACACGTGGAGATCTCGTTTACGACCCTCCATCGCGTGTCTAATTCGCCATAGGGCACTTCTTAGTTACGAACTGTTCCAACGACGCCACTTCCCCACCCATCGTTTCGATCCATCGAGAGAACCACCTCCCCCTTTGGGTCTTCATTAGGTGCATCGATGATGACCGATCCACCATTTTACTTTCACTGGGGTGACGATCAGAGCAATCTCGTAATTCTTTATCTATTTAGAGAGATCCTGAGGGGGTCTCAGAAAGGAAATATTGGTCTGAACCGATTGAAGGATTTAATCAGCGACGAAGGGACACGTTTCAGTAATCCCCGATTGGACCCGTTCCATTGGTCGAAAGATTAAAGTGTCTTTCCAGATATCGGAGAATAGGATCGTGGAATGCGTGACGGTCAACGGGGATGAATATTCCAGTAGTAGCCATTGACTTTTCGTTTACTGAGAGGTCAATACTCAGTTTATAGCAAGCTGTAGTCGATTATTTATCGGTATTCTCGGTATTAAGTCCTCTACTCGAGAAATGCCGTTCATCGTCGTTTCAATCCACAATCTCTCGTCGTTTTTCCTTTGAAAGCTTTCTCACTTCTTCCTATTCGTTCGACGTCGTTCTAAATTCACGTGGAAGCGAGACAGAGCCTTTCAACGACGGAAGGATCGAGACACGGCAGGTTGATGGGATTGAGCATGAGGGGGGCATGGAATTGAACGGTCTAACTGCGTCAATGGGTTAAGGAGAAACTTAAAGCTACCCTCTTGCTCGAAGGAATGCTCGTCTAAACCATGATGCACTTTGGCCCGCTTAGAGTCGGATGATCCGGGGATCGATCGGAAGGAAAAAACACATTTCGAACCGGAGGAACCACGAAATGATCTTCTAACCGTGTCCGATGGGGGATCCAAGAATAATCTGGTTGTACAATTTCCGGTACAGGTGATTCCTGTCGAGTACATGCGTTCACTACCGCGTGCAAAGAATTGATACATGTATACTATCTAAATTTAACCGGTGGAACGACATCATCTCCCTTTTTTCGAGCGTACATAACATTGTGGGGTCGCTCGGGACCCCCAACGCTTATAAAACCAATGAAAATGTACAGAGAATTCGATTTTCTCCATACCATATTGAACTGATAACAACGTAAAGTAAAAAGTATTATATTGTACCTTTACACTGTAACAGCGTGATAGACACAGGATCGATAAATCTATAGTTTCACACAGTCATCAGTCTGGGGTCGAAGAATGGAACAGATATTTACTGAGATAATCCTGTTAAGTGTCTCATTAACATTCACCACAGAACAATATTTTCCTCAAACTTCATTAAAATAATCGCTTCATTGTGTTCGTACGTGCATAAAATCGGGAGTTCATTAGTTACGTCACCCGATATATTTCACGGCGAGACACGCAAAATCCGTCGGACCATCAACGGTGTGAAATTCACCGCGAAATTTCGACCGACAACCGAATCGATTCTCGAAACGAACGGCCGTTTCGTTGCGATCGATTCCCCCCTGCGCGCGGTACAATGAAGTCCATTTACAAAATGAAAGTCGAGTTTCCTGGAATTGGGCGGGGTTGCAACATTGCGAATACCCGATCGTCGCCTTTAACTCGATTAATCACCGGAGCCGACTAACTGCCGCGTTACCGTTTTCCAGACAGGCAGAAATTAGGGCTACGGTTGCAAAAATAACGAAGCTGATTTCCCCAATCCCGCACGATAAATATATCCGATCAATTGCACGCCCGGCGAATCTGGTCTCCCTCCTACTTCCGCGGACCGGACCGTAACGACAGGGACGAAACATGTGGACGCGACTGAATATGGATCGGGAAGTGCATGGCTCTCTCGAGGCTAGAGGGGCTTAAAGCACGATATGTACCCGTTGCCACGGAATCTTTTAAAGGGTGGCGGTCGATTAAGCCGTGAGAGAGAGAAAAAGAAAGAGCCGGTTCGTGAAAGAATTCAACCCTCTGTGTTTCCGCGAACCGTTCGAATACTTTCCCTTTCTGGGGGAATTCCTCTCAACTCCGCGAGAAATGTAATCTCGATGGGGGGTAAGCGAATTTCAACCGAAGCGAAATTGAAATATTTGAGAATTGTACGGATTGCTGTACGATAATAATAGAACGATCTTGTGGATCGGTTATAATACACAGACTCGAGGCTCTTATCTTAACCTACGAATGATTGGCAGTCGCCTTTATCCCATGAATTATAGACATTTTAGTGCTGCCTGGGTCCAGATAGACCCCTAATTATCTGTCTTTCGATATGTTTTAGAACGAATCTCCTCGAAATACGCTGGTTCTCTTATAAAATGTTAATATTACGACGACCGATAATGCTACAGTGGCGTCATGTGATTTTGTCTACTGGTAGTTTTCAGATGTTTCAAGTTATTGAATTTTTCTACAATACATAGGAAACCTATTTTTCGTTGTGTGTTCGTTCAGTGGTGAAAGTTACGCACGAAACAATGTAATCGGTCGTCGTAGGTTTAATATAACCTATACGCTTTAGTTCGATTTCCGCAAGCCCGAATATCTGTGTGAAATTTCTAACCAAATTGGATCCAGACACCGAATCCTGAACTGTACTGGATCCAGACACTCGCGTAAAGATTTAATCGTACAAAATCTTAT